ACAGAAGCTTGGGAGGAGCCCCTGGTTCCTTTCTATTACCAGTTCTGCCTATGTGAAGATAAGTCAAAGATCCTACTCGACCATGGTTGGCTTCACTTGGAAGCATGGAGGAAATGATTCCTCTGTGTTCACCCTCCTCTTTGTAGACTGGACACTGGTTCAAGGCCATCTGGTGGGGTCTCCTCGGCCTCCTTGATCAAAAGGACAAGTGACCCACCACAATTACAGGACATTTTGAGAGATGCTCCTAGTACCCTGGAACTAGTCGACCTTCAAGGGCAAGGAGCAAAAACTGTCCTTTATGTCCCTTTTATTTTTTCAAATCCAAACAAGGGGCTGGAGAGATGGCTCAGAGGTTAAGAGCACTGACTGCTCTTGCAGAGGACCTGGGTTCAATTCCCAGCACCCACATGGCGGCTGCAAACTGTCCTTAACTCCAGTTCCAGGGGAATCCGAAGCCCTCTTCTGAGCTCCGAGACATTGCATGACATGGTGCATTCACATACATGCAAGCAATATACTCAGACACATAAAATAATAATTTTTTTTTTTTTTTAAAGCCAAACAAGGGCCGGGGATGTAGCTCATGGTAGAGCACTTTGCCAGCATGTTAAGGCCCAGTGTTCAATCCCCAGGAAAACCCCTGTCCCCAACAAGCAAGAAAACTTGGTTTCCCCCCTTCAAAGTACTTACTATAGAATACTTAACTGTAGATTGCTGTTGTTTAACACGTGCTAGTCTGCAAACTGTATTTTGGTTAGGGAAAGCTGGAATTTGTACAGATTGTGAATTCCAGGATTATAACCACTGCTGTCCTTGTTTTTCTCCCAGCATATTGCCAATTACATATCTGGGATCCAGACTATTGGGCACAGGGTAATTGTGTCTGATGTCCAAGAAAGCTTCATCTGGGTTCGCTACAAGCGTAACGAGAACCAACTCATTATCTTTGCTGATGATACCTACCCCCGATGGGTCACTACAGCTAGCCTACTTGACTATGACACTGTGGCTGGGGCAGACAAGTTTGGCAACATTTGTGTGGTGAGTTGGTGTTGCTTCCTTGAGTGACAGTCACGTATGGGAAAGCTGATTCAGTTTGTGGTGTTGGTAAAACCAAGGAACAAGGATTATGTTCTCTGATCTGGAAACTGAGTATGGGTATGAAATTCAACCCTACTGAGGCCAGCTCTTTAAAAGACCTTCTTGATGTTCTTCAAGCTTTTCCACCAGTCTTTTGCTTATCTTCTCCATAGAATATGATCTCATAGTCTACTTTGAGCTAATGGCTGTATCCAGTTGTACGTTCTGTTTGTATGTTTCGGCCCAGCCTATTTTTCCCTTCTCTGTTCTGTGTCTTGTTTTTGTTCTTGGCTGTGCTGGACCCTTGCTTGTGCCTTGGTTCTCTTGAGTTTCTCACTCTTCATACAGCAGCCTTGGGCTCAAGCCTCTGTCAGTGTAGTGCCTTGAGCTCACTTGCTGAGACCTAGAGCAAACACTGCTTAGTTAGCCAAGTGAGCATGCACCGGATCCATTTCTACCATTGTGTCACTTCCTTGTAGGTGAGACTCCCACCTAACACCAATGATGAGGTGGATGAAGATCCTACCGGAAACAAAGCCCTCTGGGATCGTGGCTTGCTCAATGGGGCTTCACAGAAGGTAAGATTGTAGAAGGGCCCAAGAGAAAGACACACTCAGTGCCTTCTGTTGCCCTCACCAAAGAATCAGTTTCCGGTGACTTATCTGCAGTACACATGACTACCAAGTGCTCCTTGTGCATGGCCCTTCCTTTTCGAAACCCTAAGCTGAAAATACGTAGCCTGTGATGCATGGATGCTGGGTTTTCATGAGGTGATTATGTCACCATCCCATTTTTATGACCAAAGCTAATTTTTCTTCTTTTTAATTACATTTAGTGTGTGTGTATATGTGTAAATTGGTTCTCTCCTTCCACTATGTGGATCCTAGGGCTTGAACTCTTGATTGTAGGATTTGTTAGCAAGCATCTTTACCCACTGAGCCATCTTGCCAGTCCTAAGACAGATTTTTCTGAGATAGTCTATTAATTGGTGTACAGATAGCTGGAGAGTAGCAAGGTCTTTGGAAAAGATGGTTGTAAGATTTGTTCCTGGTACTAATTAGCTCTTCTCTGGATCCTAGGCTTTGCCTTTTTCCTATAGGCACATACTTTAAAAGAACATCTCTGGGCTTGTAAAAACAAATCTCATTATCCTAGCACCTGGGATACTATTGGTAGGATTGTAAGTTCCAGGCCACCAAGAAGCTGTCTTAAAAGAAAAGAAGGGGGGGGCGGGGGTTATGTGTTAGAGAATAAACGTAAAAACCTGGTGGTATTTTATAATTTTCTGTAGTTCCGCCTCCTTCTCCTCCTCCATTTGCCTGAAATTTGCTTTGTAGCCTAGGCTGGCCTTAAATTTAGGATTCTCCTGCTCCAGCCTCTTGAATGCTAAGATTATAGGCATGTACCACATACCTGTCTAAAAAGGTTTTTAGATGGTAATTGATGGTTAAGAAATGATCTGAACTTGATATGCTTTTGAAACATAAAGCTTTAAATAAATGATAAAAAGTTTAGAAACAAAAAGGCTGGACATGGTGCTACACACCTCTGATCTTAGCACTTGTGATGTAGAGGCAGGCAGATAGATCTCTGTGTGTTTGAAGCCAGCCTGGTCTACATAGTGAGTTCCAGGCCAGCTAGGGCTACATAGTGAGACCTTGTCTCAAAAAGACCCAAAAAAGGGAAAAATTTTGAAAGCTTTTTTAGATTTCCATAAATTCTGAAATGGAACTAGAGGTGTAGCTCAGTTGATAGAGTACTTGCCTCAGATACATACGTGAAGCCCAAAGTTCCATTCCCAGTCCCACAAGGGGAGGGAGGTGCAATGTGTCTGGAGGAATCCGGAACAGACTTGAGGGCAGACAAAGTTACTGAGATGTTTTTTGACTTGCAGGCAGAAGTAATCATGAACTATCATGTCGGGGAAACAGTGCTGTCATTGCAGAAGACCACACTGATTCCTGGAGGCTCAGAGTCACTTGTCTATACCACTTTGTCTGGAGGAATTGGTATCCTTGTCCCTTTCACGTCTCATGAGGTGAGAGTCCCCACATTGTTCTTACCTTGTCCTTCTTTGGATTGTTTCTTGGTGTTGAGTCTGTCTAGGAGATCATGTGCATTTGTCCTTACTTGTAATTAGCAGTGTTCTAGAAGTTTTACAAGGTGACAGTTAATGTGCCTAGGAAGAAGGAATCCTAGGTTCTTCTGCTTGATGAGGGTCTTTCATTTCATGCTATACTAGTTTTGATGTAGATACAGGGTTAGTCTGAGCCCAGAACCCCAGAATGGCACTCCACAGACTAGAAATGATGGATTGATGATTTTCTGTGACACTCTTACCTTATGGAGTCAATTCTAGGATTGCTCTGTTTGGTTTCTGCCATTCTAGCTGTGCATTTTGGGATCAGGAATCTGACCTCACAGGCTACTCTTTACAAATGATGTCCTTTCTTGTACTACAAGTACAGTTAGGTCCCTTTTGCATTTTAGTTCCTGTCATTGCAGAGAAACATGTGGCCATCAGAAGAGTGATTAGATTTTAATTTATTAAAAAAATTTTTTTAATGTATGTGTGTTTTGCCTGGATGTATGTAAGTGCACTGCATGCATGCAGTGCCCACAGAGGCCAGAAGAGGGCATGAGATCCCTGGAACTATCCTCCATCATGTATGTGGGTGTTGGGAACTGAACCCAAGTTTTCTGTAAGAGCAGCTAGTGCTCTTAACTGTTGAGAATTTCTCCAGCCCTGTGATTAGCTATTTTAACATGTTTACCTGGTAAACAATCAGTGCTTATAGTTGGGCAATGATGGCATATGCCTATCAGCACTCAGTAGGCTAAATCAAGAGGATTTCAAGGTCAAGGCCAGATTGGGTAAGACTTTGGCTCAAAAGTGTTGGTTGTTTTGTTTTGTTTAATTCAATGACTTGTCTATACTTTGTTCTGGGAATTGCAGCGAAGCAGTTGAAATCACTTCTTTCTCAGGGACAAATTCTTTGTTTCTTTCACAGGATCATGACTTCTTCCAGCATGTTGAAATGCACCTTCGGTCTGAGCATCCCCCCCTCTGTGGGCGAGACCACCTCAGCTTCCGATCTTATTATTTCCCTGTTAAGGTAGGTTGAAATGAGGAGGCCTCAGCCGTTCACCTGGCCTATTCTGTGGGCCTCCATTTCTTAAAAGTTGGGATCGTCCCAGCACTTGGAAGGTTGAGGTAGGAGGATTGTGAGTTCAGGCTAGTCTGGACTATATAAGACCCTGTCTCAACAAGCCAAGAACTGGGGTTTTACTCAGTAGTGGAACACTTGCCTAACCTGCACGTGGCCCGGCCCTGGATTTAATTCCCAGCACCATTTATTTTTTAATGGTCAGTCCTGGATAGAGGAGTAGCAGGGAATGCACTGAGGATGTCAGTGAGGGCGCACATGGTTGGTGGTGCTCTTCTCCCTAATGGTCAGTCCTGGATAGAGGAGTAGCAGGGAATGCACTGAGGATGTCAGGGTGCACATGGTTGGTGGTGCTCTTCTCCCAGCAGGGCAGACCACAGGCAGAAACAAAACCACCTGGTTTTACCAGTCCGAAGTCTGGCTGCTTAGGGGGCAACTTAGAATATATTCACAGTATGTGCTTTTTTCTTTGGACATCTCACCTTTGCCTTTCTCTGGTTCCTCTGTGTCTTAGAATGTGATTGATGGAGACCTCTGTGAGCAGTTCAACTCTATGGAGCCCAACAAGCAGAAAAACGTCTCTGAAGAGCTAGACCGAACCCCACCGGAAGTGTCCAAGAAGCTTGAGGATATTCGAACCCGTTATGCTTTCTGAGCCCTTTCTTTGCTTGCTGGAAGTTCTTTTTGTTTCCAGCACCACCATCTGGCTTCTGCCACATGGCAGGAGAAAAGTGACCTGGTGATGAAGACTGAAGTCCCAGCCGATAGCTCTTCCCCTCAGTTCTTCTTTGGAATGACCGTTCCCTGTAAAACTGGCACTGAAGTTTGCTCATTTCACTCTGCCTCGTACATGATGCAGAGCCTCAGGCTCCAGTCTGGAATACCATATTCCTTTTCCCCGAGGCTGTCCCTGCATTCAGATCTCTGGCACGCTAGTCTACTTTTGTACACACTTTGATTTTTCAACTGGTTTTCCTGTAAATAGTTTTGTACAATGATACTTTGTGAGACAGGGAGACAAGCTAAGATGTGGCAGGGTTTGTTGTAATAATGGCTTAGTTCTGCCACTCTGGACCCTCCCCCAGAAATAATAAAACTAGTTTTTAAGGTGGCCAGCATCTGTGTTTCTTTTTTCTGAGGATGAAAATTCAAGGAAGTTTGAACCCAAGTTGGAGTGAGTCGAATCTTCCACTTCCTTCTGGGCAGCTACTTGGACATCCTGTGGTCTCCCTCTCTTGGCCCTGGTGGTTTCTTTGGCCTTTCTTGATTCTATGCTGTGGAAATAAGGCAAGGTCTCATCAACCATGTGAACATCTACCCATCTTCCCATTAGATATTAAGGGGAATCTCCTCTCACCCCATAGGTCTTTTTTTAATATTTTTCCAAACAGGGTCTCTCTGTAGCCCCAGCTGGCCTGGAACTCACTATGTAGACCAGGTTGTCCTTGATTTTTAAAGAGATCCGCCTGCCTCTGCCTCCCAAGTGCTGGGAGTAACGGCATGTGCCTCTACATCTGACCCCATAGGTCTTTTCTACCCTGAAATCTTAGAATGCTGAGTTTAGGAGGACTCCCAGCTGAACAATCTGATTTCACAATGCTTGCTTCACTTAAGAGACTCCTGAGGTGTTTGGACTGGTGACCAGTAGGAGTCGCTAAGGACGGATGAACCCAGATACCGGCCTGCCCTTCGGAATAGTCATTGTATGTGGGCCCTGTTTGGAAACACATGAGGCAACCTGTGGGGTGTGTGTGTATGTGTCTCTCCAGCATTGGCCTAGGGAGGCAGATATATAAGGGAGGCGTACTAGGATCCTTTTGGCCGGAAGTGGCCTAGTTTCAGAAATGATCAAGCCCATGCTTGGAAGTTTCTCCTGCTGAGCTGTGTGGGAAGCCTTAAATCTTTCCGGCAACTGTTTGACCTATTGAACCTGGAAAAATCCAAGCTTGTTGCTGTTCTCAGTACTTGATGAAGTAAAACATTCTGTCTTCTCTATCCACTCAGCCACCTACATTGACCACATTTTCTGCATCTGGTACCTGGTAGGAATCAGAGTCAGGACCAGGAGTGATTGACTATAATTTGAGACAGGGTCTCAATCTAGACCAGGATAACCTTGGAACTCGCAGTAATCCTGCTTCTGCTTTCCAAGTATTAGTTAAAGGCATGAACCACCAGTGTCCAGCTGCGGACATCACTTTGACCAGATCACCGTGTAGACAGAGCATTCCTGATAAGCATCCTCTGGCACCAAGTATCTCTAATGACCTGGTTTAGGTGTTAGAAACAGGTTTTGCTGGGAGTTGAGTTTCAGGAATTGAGTCTTAGCTCATGGATTTTAGTTGAGTCGTAGCTAGCTATTTAGTCTTCCTCAGATTTGACAGACACACTTTTCTTAGTAGTAGTTGAATAAGGATGGAAAACTTGATCTCTGTGGAATCAGGATTGGTCAGCACTGTTCTCTGCCAGAGGAAGGAAGGACTCTGGCAAGTAGAAAACCTGAAATGTCAGCAAGGGGATTGAACATGCGGCAGGGATGTTTTTGCTCTTGTTCATAGCTACTGCCTTGTAGATGCCTGCAGAAGGCATCTAACAATGTGGAGACTGGATGAGGCTGAATTGTTTAAGGGTACCACCAGTTTGGTTCTTTTGGTTGAATTGATTAAGCAGGTAAATAGGGAACTGTCTTGGCCTTGTAAAACTTAGCAGAGGCTGTTGGGGAACCGAGAAGGGAGAGATCCTGTCAGGACTCTGTGGCATCTGTCTTTGCTTATTGGGTTTGTTCCTTTCTCGCTCCTCTGTAAAGCCCTGTGACTTGACTGAAAAGAGAGTCCAGAACTTTTCAGCTGCCTCAGCTTTCTCCTGACCTTACGGGCAGAGGTTTTGCAGATGTTGCTTCCTTCCGAAGATCTCTTGCCAAGAATAGCATTCATCGTGGGGAAGGGGTTCAAGTGGAACTGTGGCTGGAATGTTGCTTTTTTTGGGGTTTGTATAAATGTATTGCTGGCAGGACAGCTGCTGGGGCTGGGAATACACTCAAGGCTCCCTGCCTCACAGGGAGAGGGCTGGGGTCCAGGATGTCGGCTGCTCTCACAGCCCACAGCCTTTCTTGAGAGGGGAGCCAGAAATGCTGAGGTCTTTTCAGTGGCACCAACCCACCTTTCGCGATCTGTTAATTCCTTAATTGTTTTCTGTTCAAAGGAGAACCACGTCTTTGCATGAATCATCCTCTTGCTCATTTGCATGTGAATTATTGTGCGTGTATGTTTTAAGTTTATACACCCTTAAAATTAATTTCTAAGGACCATCAAGATGCAGAGCTCAGAAGTATCTCCTTTGAAAGCTTGTCCAGAAAATAGTGTGGGGGAGTAGATGGCTTTGTATGGGGCACGTGGTAGGTAACTCAGCATCTTCATGGCTATTGTTGATTTTTATATTTGGATACCTGAGAGCCTGACATGGAATGTTCTGGTGAACTGAAATCAACTGTACCGCTAGAAAGCTGCCATTAGAAGACTTTCTGGACAATATGTTTACTGAGCACCAGTTCTGTCCCTTCTCTTGGGTCTGTTCTGCTCCCAGAGGTCGGAAGAAAAGTTCTGATAACAGTCTCCATCTGAGGATGGTGAGCAGGATGATGGAGCATGAGGCACTGAGTCTCAGAAGAGTCTGTCTGATTTCCTCAGGTCAAACAGGCACAGCTTGGGAACTTTTAGGGAAAATCAGGCCTCAAGTCCGAAAACTGAGGCCAGGGTAGGCAGCCAACTCTTTTAGGTCAGGAGATGGTAAGCTGTATGTAGTCTTAGCGTTTATTATCCTGTCTGGACACAGGTCTCTATCTGTGTATCAGATAGACTGCAAGAATCTACTTGAATATTTCTTGAAGAATCTTGCTTCAATATTTCTGTCTGATGTAAATGATATCACTGGATAGCACTATGATTAGTGTTCAAAGTGAAACAGCAAATTTGGAAGTCATAGTTTGGGGAAAGGGGATGAGAGTATTCACCTTGAAGTTACTGAGGGACAGTGTTCAGTTCACTACCTACCCAGCCCACCCCCACATCCAGCTCCTCTTAGGACCCAGTCAGAATCCAGAGGTAAGCCTGCCTAACTCAGTTCTTGGCCTTTGTCTGCCTTCTAGAGTCTGCCTCAAATTTGTAATCCAGAGACTCACCTGGCAGAACCAGCCCCTTCTGCAAAATCTTGGTTAATAAGAGGACTCTGTATTTTGTTTACATTTTACATTTTATTTTGGCATACATGGGTGTGTGTGTGTGTGTGTGTGTGTGTAAAACAACTAGTGGGAGTCAGTTCTGTTCTCCGCTATGTGGGACCCAGGGATCAAATTTGGGCCTTCGGCTTGGCAGCAGATGCCTTTACCAGCTTATGCAAGAGTTGCCTTTGATGAGGTTCTCTGGGGAGAGGCTCCTTTCGAAAGGCCGTGAGTATGTGTAAGCTAATGCATAGTATTAATATTTACTGTGGGTTTTAGGGCCCGGTGCTGTCAGTGAGACACACTAAGGACTCTTGCTTCAAGGAGCTGATGCTGTAACTAGAGAAAAGTGAAGCCTTGAGAAACATCTGCTTTGGAAAGAGCACTGGACATAAGAGTCAGATCACCTGGCTATGGCCATGGTAACAGGAATGTGGAGTGTTTCGAGGGTGGTCTTAGCCCTGGAAGACCTGATAGCACCTCCATCCTGTACTACTGTCCTATAATGAGACACTGAGAAAAAGGCATCACCCCAAGCCAAGAGGACACAGCAGGGTCTGTAGCTATGCCCCCATTTCCACCTCCACTGCATGTCTGAATAGCCTTGGCTAAGCTCTGCAGGGCCTGGAGGGTTTGACCAGAGTAGCCATTGCTAGGGAGTGTGGAGGTGGGGAATTATCTGGGCACATTCCAGCGTGGGCATATTGTCCTGCTGCAAGTTCAGGGAATCCAGTTTTCTAAATCTAATTTAGAAAACATTTCTTGAACAACTACATTCATTAACATTTAGAATAGGGCAAGCCCTCATGTCCAGGCCAGCATTCCCAGACTAAGCTCTGTGGAGTCATAGATGGTAATGAGTGGCCCTTATAGAAAGGTTCTGTGTTCACACTGAACAAAGCATGGCTAACTCCCTCTTTAATAACTTGATGCTTTCAACGGACACTGTTGGCATTGTAATGTCTAATGGAGGAGGAGCTGAAGGATTATTTGAGGGATGGGGATTAACCACCTAAGTTAACTACTCCAAATACAGCCTAATAAAATTAGGAAAGCCAGGTATGGTGGCATACACCTATTTTGGCACTCTAGAGGCAGGAGGACCACAAGTTCCAGGCCAGCTTTATATAGCCAGTTTGAAGCTAGCCTGGACTACATTAAGATCCTGTTTTTTTGTTAAGTGACGAAGCTTGGTACAAAAACTTACTAGAGGTAGTAGTGCTGGGCCTACCAGAGCCTGCAGAGCTCTGTTTAGGCCACTCAGTCTTGTCACTATGACTGGATAGGCAAGAGTGCCTGTGCCTGTAGGTTTGGTCAGGAAAGAGCCTCTGCTGCCTCCAGGAGTTTCTGTAAGGCTTGTGTCTCAGGCTTTGGGCTGAGATTCTTGGCTAAATATCACCTGGGCTCAAGTCCCCATCTGCAGATGACTTCTCAGCAGTAATTTCCCTAACATGTCCACTTTCTAGGTGTTACCACTTGACTATTCAACTTTGTGTTGGGAGACTTGTGTCAGAGTCCATGAATTCTCGAGAGGGTCTGGGATAGCCTCTAAAAACGAGTTCAATCAGCCTGGAAATTAGGGCTTAGAGTCTAAGGACTCCTCCCCGTACCCTCAAGGCTGTCCCCTAGCTGTTCCTCTGGGTTTGTGGCTCACTCCTACTCTAGACTCCATGAGGCCCCGCCCCGCCCTGCCCTTGCTGGCTACTGTTCTAGAATCTAGTCTGAGCTGCTGTGGCTTGTGCTCCCCGCCCTCTGACGGGAAGACTGGATTGTGGACTGGGGGACAGCACATTCTCTCCTACCTGGCATTTACTGCCTGCAGTCCCAAGGCACCTGCTCCAGGCCCTGAGCCACTTAAAGCCATCAGCATATGGTAGAAGACTGAATCCTGGCATGTGAGCT